TTACATTAGTGTTGTCCTGCACAGCAATTACAGTAATGATGTTCGTCGATTGATAACTAGCGAAATTGTGTGAGGACTCGTCCCCGACAACGTGATATTCCTGTCCTAACTGACAAATCTAAAGTGAAAGCGTTTGGAAAGCAGTTCGTGTAATTCTGTGTTGTTATAGTCTCACCGGCAAAACAACGAACTTGTCCTCTCCTCCACCTCCAGTCAGGCTATTACTGCCAATTAAGGAAACTGGAACGTTAGAGTTCACAAAAAGAGTTTTATTCTCGACAACTGCTTTTTGCAGGTATTGATCCATATAATCGGTTTGCATATCTGCAGGATTTATGGGGACCTGAAAGAAAATGAATGAGGATCCTTAACTTATTTGCTACCAAGTGTAAGGCCTCATCAACCATTTTTCCTTCCCTTTGTGCAATTTTTACTTGATCTGTATCGAGAACTGCATTGAAAGGAAGGTGAAGAAAACGAAACAAAAGCAGTTGAGGAAAGTATTATTTTGCACTTTTAACGCTATGGGTAAAAATAACTTTTTTAGTTGCCACATTCGTTAACATGATCTTACCGTCTTTGACTGTCCGCTTCCTACGGTAACGGTAAGGTTGCTGAAAAGTGGATAGGGTGAGTTGATCTGAAAGCAATGAAACTTCCTCAAAATATCTACAACATAGTTGAAAAATAGGGAATACCGTCACTACAGCATCTACATTTCCTGGATTTGTGATGGTAACTGACAGATTCTCAGTATATGAAGTGTCTTTCGCGTTTAGATGACCATTGAGGAAAGAGAATACGAAGGAAGTTCCTAAATTGGAGAAGTATGAGATAAGAAGTTGGAGTTTCTTGGAAGAAATGAAGCTGCACACCCTGAGAAACTGCTGTTGCCGATAGATCCACTGCTTTTGACGGTGCCATCCGCAAATACCTCGGAAGCTCGCTTTTGTGTCCTTTAAACCTTCATATAATGCAAAAAACAGATGGATTTAGTCATTACTTTGCTTATACCTTCTGCGTTCGATCATAAAGTTTTTGACTAACAACAAAAGTTATATATCTGAGTAATATTGATTGAAAAATATTTCAAAGTGATTGAAAACGAATCATTTTCTCATTGTAGTCGGATGTCGATTCATCGCATGCAACGTGGCTTTACAATATTATTTCCGAAT